CAAACAAAGAAACAAACTATACAAGTATTATATGAATTATACCATGAAAGTAGAATATAGATTCCATTAAGAATTATGATTAACGATATTTGACCCCTGCTAATAGCATTACTAACAAGTGTATCTGTTTTAGCTATTTGAATAATGAGCCTGATTTGGGGATGTAATTACAATAAAGTTTCAATTAATGAGATAATATATACGTACCCAGAAATTCAAGTAAAATAATCAAACTGAAGTAATCTCGTAAAGAAAAGAAAAAACCTAAATGCCTAATGTTACTTTAACATCCATAGCGCTGTTTACCGATAAAACGAAACTAACCAGATATTTAACCATTAAAAAGCTTCTTAGCAGTAATACTTATAGAAGAATAATGGAAAATAAGCCTACTACTCTAGCTAAGCAGAAGAATAGCTTCTATCATAAACAAACCAATTTAAATCTTCTGCTGTGTAATTAACCTTACTAACCGTGGAATCTCTTTCGAAATGCTTTCCTAATGAGAAATCTAATGCTTTTAATACAGCTATGAAATTATCTGTTCAATCGAAAGCGAACAAAATAAGCTTCTTGTTCTCTTATATTCGTTAGCGTAAACATCTCTGGGTCGGAAATTTGATGAAGAAAATGACTGTTATCGTTAATTTGCTTGAGCCATTGTAAATTACTTCTGAATTTTGCATCATACTCAGAACAAATAAGAGCTTTTTTGAAAAACAAATAATTGCTGAGGTGGTTATCCTAATTAAGTAGCCATTTCAAACTATTTATCAGGCTCTTGGCTTAGCTCAAGGTAATTCTTGACATTTCCATTAAGTATGAGAAGCTACAATTTGAATGTTTTACATATACGAAAGGAAATTTTGCTTGGATAAACCATCTGAATTAATTCATCATAAAATTATTGTAAAAACACTCATACTTATAACAAACAAATACGACCTCAATCTTACTCTTCCAGATCTTGAGGTTTTTCTTTGAAAATTCCTATTTTATCTCAAGACAGTGACGTCAGGGAAGTAGTGATTTACGTGTTGTATTCAGTATGTTTGCATAGCTAGCTACATTTGTATTGACATTTTAGTTTGCCCAAAGAAGCTCAGTGCTTACAATAAATAATGTATGGGTTGTTTCCACTTCGACCATGAAATGGTATGTCACTTTTATTGTTTTCCAAAAAAGTTTCTGTACCTGTTTATTCTTCATATTTATAAAATTTCTAGTGAAATGTAACCTGAGCACTTAATATTTTAAACTGAGACTAGAAGATTGTATAAAATGTTTATTCTCATATGTTCACTTTAGAAAATCGTCTCCCAGTGGGTGAGTAGTGAGTTTACGGACAGTTTAAATCCGTGGTTCGATTCTCCGTGCTAGACAGATTGCAGATACCCCATTGTGTAGCTTTGCACCATAAAACAACAGTAACAAAATTTAAGAATTCAGCTCAGATACCAAAAAGAATATTTACTTAGAGATAAAATTTTGGAATCTTATCTGATATTCACAACATAGTGCACCAATAAATTCTTAGATTGTGAGTTTAAGTAGTTTTGGAATTCAATAATATATATATAATAATATAAACATAAAGAACAAAATATTTCATAATAGTATGGCAAAACATGATATGCCGTATTGGTCATTTAGTTTTCTGCCAGGTTTCACTAAAACGTGTGTCCACTGAGGGGAAACGAATCCCTTCTTTTAGCGTCGTAAATCCGAAGACTTACCGCTCTCCCAACGGGGGACGTTTCACTAAACATTATATTATGCAATATGATTGTGTTCGCGTTAGGTACTTGGAACTACAGGCTATTATATTTCTCTTTTCATACAAAAAGGAATTTTCTACAAGAATATCAGATGAGATGCATTTTGAAATTTATCTGTGAAAACAGCGATACTGCTAGTTACTATAAAGTTGTGGCAATCAGATGTTAATCGTTGTAATGTTTAATACGATCACTTAAATCTGTGTATTAATTAATTACTATTTTTAATTGCTATATACTAATTACTAACTAGTTTTGATCCTACGTTTCTGCAGTTGACCTGCTGCCTTTTTTTCAGAGCAATTTTAAGAAGGGCGAATTCTTTGATAGTAAGAGAAAGGATTCGATCCCGGGTCTTCTTCGTAGAGAAAAGATGGCGTGCTATCTACTCTCTGAAGGGTTTCCCGTCTTAGGAATAGAATCATTTAACTTATTTTAATTATTTTAAGAAGAATGTCCATGTTTTGTTGACTTCTATAGTAGATTGACCGAGTATGTGATTAGTTAGGTGGATGTAGAAAGTTTATTTTGTCGTTTTATTTTTCTCGTGTTTCTTATCCTGGTATTTTAGCATCATTCTAATGTTTTGCTTGGTCTTGTTCTTTGTTGTTATGGGCTGTTGTATATAATTCGATATTACAGTCTTATGTGTCTATTATGTTCGTGAATTCTAACTTCATTTTTGTTTTTCCAGTATATTGGAGTCCACATTCATAAGGAATGTTACCAATAGTGATTTCACTCTCCACTTGGTCTTTATTGATTAAAATAATAACTAACTCATAATTAGATTTAAATGATTGTATAGGCTACAGTAACCATAACAACGAGCGATCTTGATGTTGAAACACTGAACTTTCAAATTATATTGAAAACAAATACAAGGTTTCTGATAATTAATACAAAGCATTTGCACCCTAAATAACCTAATATATTACACGTAAATATTTCTAAACTTTACATTATATCCTTACAAGTGGTAAATTTATTTGGTTCCATCAGATTACCGTTATAGGGCGTTCTTTTATTTATATCACATATCATTTTTTACTGTCTGGCTATGCATGTTTGAAAACTCAGAAAGCTGTAATCTTCAGGGTGGGTGAACAAAATAACTTAACTAAACCAAAGTGTATTCCAAGTTAGGTTATCCGTGACTGAACAACTTCTGCTCTTTCTTAAAATCGTCTTTTAGATGAGTAACGGTATAGTAGGATAGAAACAATCTTTCAAAAGTATATGAACAGGATTGATGTAAATAAGTAGACATGAAAAAAATAGCTACAAGTAGTAAATAGTATTCTATTTCACTTTATTAACCGTGATTTATTTTTCAGCATTGTTTGGACATCAACGAATGTGAGGACGGAAATAACGGCGGTTGTGTGGAACACTCCCTGTGTATCAATACTGAGGTAACACTTGTCCAGCTGATATCAAAAACGATTAAAGTATGTAATATTAATTTCCAATTAGAACAAGCTACCTACTTAAAGCGGAACAAAAATCAGCCGGGTAATAAATATAACAAATTAAATCTATGTTCTTAATTATAAAGATTAGAATTCATTGTTTCATCAGTTGGGTACTCTCGCTGTTAACGATATTTTCGGCCGTAATCCCAATAATTGTTCCCGAGGTTCGGCCACGCCGGGAGATTTAGGTTAGTTCTAAGCTAACACTACGATCTCTATAATAAGAGTATAAGTGATAAAATTTGTAGTCAAGCACAAAGCTACACAAAGAACTGTCTGTGCTCTGCCCACCAAGGGTATCGAAACCCGGTATTTAGCGTTGTAAGTCCACAGACATACCGCTGTCCACTACGGGACTAAAATGAAAAATAATTTTATTTAATGTTATTTATTAAATAATTTTAAAAATAAATATATTTTACTTTCTAACAAATACTATTTATTACATTTACTAATAGTAAATATTATTAAGCACTCTAATGGTAGTTCTTCTGGAGTAAGATACGTACTGGTAATTAAATGGTTGACCACCAGGTGGATAATTATTCAGATTTATTCATTCATATCCTCTCGTTCTCTATAGTCAAAAGCAAAGCAAGACAATTTTAAGGATTAGAAATTTCGTCATTGAGTGAGTGACCGACTGTGTTACGCTACAAAAATAGCTATCTATTTAAAGATTTGTCTCTAAATATATTTCTTAGATTTTATAAGAAACTGGAAAAAAGCTGCTCCTGTCTTTAAAAAACAACAACATTTTTTCACTATTACAACCCTATGTTCCTAGGGCTCTTTCACGTGTGGAGAATGTGTCGATGGTTTTATTGGCAACCAAACGTCTGGTTGTGTTTCTCATCCCGGAAGATGTCCAGATGGAACAACTTGTGACTGGAATGCGGTTTGCGAGTTGCAGCGTGGCTTAAACTCTTACTCTTGCAGGGTATGTGAGATTACGGCTTTCGTTTGATGTAAAATGTATTCCAATATAGAGCAGTAGCTCATTCATTATATCTGGCTGTCTCTGTTTTCCAGTTGTTAGGCTAGAAGACTTACAAATTCAAACTTACGACACAACGCTCCCTTTTTGGGATATTTTTTTAATAAACAAAATAAAATTGGCATGTACATCAGACGCTACAGAAACACCAGTGTCAAGACATGAACTCAGTTTCAATGCAAAACGTACTATTCATGTTAAATAATCCTGCTTTCCAAGGGAAATGAAGATTATGTTTATGTTCAAAAACAACCACAGGGATTTAAATAAAGATCAGAACCGAACGAATATTTAAAATTTCTCTACAACATTTTATGTTTATATATCACATTATAATTGTGCACTGTACTATAAAGTATTTGTAAAGCAGGGATCTGCACAACGATTTATTACAACTGTGCACTGTACTATAAAGTAGTTGTAAAGCAGGGATCTACACAACGATTTTATTACAACTGTACACTGTACTATAAAGTATTTTAATGCAGAGATCTACACAACGATTTCATTACAATTGTACATTGTACTATAAAGTATTTGTAAAGCAGGGATCTACACAACGATTTCATTACAATTGTACATTGTACTATAAAGTATTTGTAAAGCAGGGA